CTCCTTCGATGGCGACCGTCAAAAATTGGTTTAACGAGTTTCAACGTGGTCGCACGTCGGTTTTTGATGAGCCACACCTAGGTGCCCCGAAAACGGCTACCACGGAGGATAACATGACAAAAATCCACGATCTCGTATTGGCAGACCGCCGATTGAAGGTGCGCGAGATAGCTGAGACAGTAGGCATCTCAAAAGACCGCGTGGGTCATATCTTGCATGAAATTTTGGGCATGAGAAAGCTGTCGGCGCGATGGGTGCCGCGTTTGCTCATTCCGGACAACAAGCGCAACCGTGAGACCACTTCAGAGCAGTGTTTGACGCTGTTTAAGCGCAATCCGAAGGAGTTTCCGCGTCGTTTCGTGACCGTCGACGAAACATGGATCCACTGGTACACACCAGAGACCAAGGAACAGTCGAAACAATGGACATCACCCGGCGAACGTGCTCCGAAGTAGGCGAAGACTGTCCTATCGGCCGGAAAGGTGATGGCCAGCGTTTTCTGGGATTCACAAGGTGTGATCTACATCGACTACCTGGAGAAGGGCAAAACGGTCACTGGGCTGTACTATGCCGAATTATTGGGCCGATTCGACGCCGAATTGCAGAAAAAACGGCCCCATTTGGCGAAGAAAAAAGTGCTCTTCCACCATGACAACGCACCGGCTCACACCTCCGCCCTCGCCACGGTCAAATTGGTCGAATTGGGCTACGAATTGCTGCCCCATCCACCGTATTCTCCAGATTTGGCCCCGTGCGACTTCTTTTTGTTTCCAAACTTGAAAAAGTCACTCGCCGGACAGAAATTTGAGTCGAATGAGGAGGTCATCGCCGCCACGGAGGCCTACTTTGCAGACCTCGAGAAAACGTATTTTTCAAACGGGTTAATGAAGTTGGAACATCGCTGGGTCAAGTGTATCGAGCTAAAAGGAGACTATGTTGAGAAATAAATCGCCTCTTTTCCAAAATTTTCGTTTTTCTTTTGTAGGCTAAGTACTTATCGGACCACCCTCGTATTTCATCCATATCTAAAGATACCAACTATCAAAGAAACAATCAAAGAATATTGCCTAAAATACTGTGATGAACTACGAGGGCAATATGATAAGTACTTATGTTAGGGAAGGAAATGGATTTAAAAAAATTTTTTTTATTTATTTCTCAACATAGTCTCCTTTCAGCTCGATATACTTAATCCAGCGATATTCCAACTTTTTTAAGCCATCCAAAAAATATGGTTTGTCGAACTCCGCAAAATAGGCCTCTGTTTCGGCGATGACTTCCTTCCCAGTAAGCAAAATGCTAGCAGAATGCGCTCAGATTGACGCCAATTTCGATCAGATCTCCACATCAAAACCATAGCCATCTGTGTCCTCATTAGGCTCGTGTTTTGTCGACAAGACCTGTGTGACAGGCCGTGCGAGCAGATTGTCGGCAGAAACCGCGCAAGTCCTGCTGCCAAACTACGCGTAGAGTCTGCGCGCAGAGTTTGTTCGGTTTCTGTCGTCAATCTGCCGTCAAATTACTGCAAGTCTTGCGCGGTTTTTGCTACAAATCTGCCGTCAAATATCCGACAGCAGGATTTGGCGTATATTTGACCGCAGATTGGCGGCATAATTTGATATAACAGATTCTGCGTTAAATTTGTTGCCTATTTGCCATCAAACTATGATAGCAGGCTTTGTTTGAAATCTGCTCGTGCAGGTATGGCTATCTGGGTTGTTTGACGTGAACTGTTTTCTTGTTTCCTTGTTTGATGTGAATCTGCAAAGCCATTTTCTTATATTTAGAAACAAAAAGAAATCGCACGGGGCCAAATCTGGGGCTAAATCTAATAAATGAAGTAGCATAATTCGATCAATTTTGCAGTTGCGATTGCGGAGGAGTGAGCTGGTGCGTTGTCATGGTAAAAGAGTACTTTTTTCTTCGCCAAATGGGGTCGATTTTCCATCAATTCAGCGTCGAATCGGCTCAATAAATCAGCATAGTACTGCCTCGTGGTTGTCCTTCCTTTCTCCAAATAGTCAGTGAAGATGTCTCGCGAATCCCAAAAACGATGGCCATGACCTTTCCAGATGATGGAACCGTTTTCGCCTTCTTTGGAGCAGGTTCGCCGGGTGCAATCCACTGTTTTAACTGTTCTTTCATTTCTGGCGTGTAGTGATGGATCCATATTTCATCAACAGTCACGAAACGCCGCAAAAACTTTTTCAAATTATGCTTAAACATGTCCAACAGTGCTCCGAAGTTATCATGAAAGAAGGAGGGCGTATAAGGTGGCGGCGGAACGCCGTGCGTTCGGGACTTGCATCTTATTTCATTCTGAAGAGAGAAAAATATCAGGAGCGTAGTAATTGCTAGACCGGGAATCGAACCCGGGTCTTTCTCTTGCCAGGCGACTGCTCTAGACCACTGAGCTACCTGACGCTCCACGCGACATTCTCCTCTCCCTAGATAACGTTAAGAGATGTCGTTCGGAAGTGACATCTCTAGTACTATCCCGAGCACGGCGACTACAGAGAGAGGCATGTTACTTGTACCAGTGGTACAAGCTGATGGTCTCTCAAAGGCAAAGGTTGCTATCCTTTAAGACCTGCTGTCCATGTATGCCGGCCTCCACCTTTGCCCCTCTTTGTCCGGTGCAAATTATAGCAATAAATCTCGGGGTCGACGCTTTTTTTTGGTTATCCCCGGGCGCTTGGACACGTTTTGCAACGCGCCGAGGAAGGATTCACCATAAAAGAAGGAGGGCGTACTAGGTGGCGGCAAGACGCCGTGCGTTCGGGACCTGCATCTTATTTCGTTCCGAAGAGAGAAAAATATCGATTCCGTTTTTAGTCCACTGTGAGCAAATGCGGCACCCATCTCGCTGATAGCTTTCTCATGCCCAATTTTTTATATAGGATATTTTGTATATGTTCAATTGAGATGTTTAGAATGTCAGCAATCTCTGATTTTTACTCGGCAGTTTGCTAACACGATATCATGGATTTTGTTAATCATATCTTTTGCAGTCATCTCAATTGGACGGCTCTTCATCAAAAACGGATGTTCGGCCATTCAATCAGAAAAAAATATTTAAAACAATGTTTTTAGAAATATGAATAAAACATTAAAAAAATATTTTTAGAACTTTACAAATAATTTTAAACAAGATATTAATATAAAATAAATATTAAATAAACATTAAATAAACGTTAAATAAATATTATTTCTTAACCATTATTTTAAATGAAGAATTAAGGAGTTACCCCACTTTGATGGGCCGAAAAAATAGACATATTTTAGTCGCGGAGTGCTACTAAAGTAAAAATGCGATTGACTTGCTATTTGATACTTTACTTTAGCATGTTATGAACTAAAAAAATCATGGTAAATATTCACCTTTATACAGCCCGCATGAAATGACCTCCGATTGACCTTGATGTTAACCTTGACCCTTAAGGATGTCAAAGTCATAAACTTTTCCCGTCGCTCGTTCTTCATTAAAAAATTATTAACAAAAGAAGTTTTACAAATTGAACGTAATTTTTCGACAATATTATATGTACTTAATGAAAAGAATTTTGAGTAAATTTGTTATAAACGTCAAAGAAACTCCTTGTAATCCTTGCAGTATATATATATGCGCGGGGGAGGGGCGGAGCCCCTCCCCCGCACCCCCTCCCCAAAAAAACTAACCCTAACCTAACCTATCCTATCTATTGAAATATGGTAAATTATATATTCTTATGTTGCTTTTCCTTTAGGTTAGGTTAGGGTTTGTTTTTTAGGGGAGGGAGTGCGGGGGGAGGGGCTCCGCCCCTCCCCCCGCGCATATATGTATATTTTTTTCTTTTACGAACTTTTCACATAATTACTTCTATACCCAACAAATCTGTTGCACTTATGTAACTTCTTTGCATAACTTTTTAATAAACAATAAGCAACGGCTAATATATAATATAACAATGGTAAGAAGATTAATAATGAATATCGAGCACGACGAAGCGCGCGAAACATATAAGCGTGCCAAAGACAGGTCTTTTCTCCAGATTCCAGATCATCATTATAAAACTAGCTACCGCTGTTACTTCTCACGTCCAATGGAGTTATAAAAATTGGAGTTATAAAAATGTCAAGGTTCATACTCTATAAACACATATCTTCTATTATACATTATCTTACATACATACACACACTGCATGTGTGTATGTATGATATAAGTTATGTATATGTATAATAAGTTAAATAAATATGTATAAAGTTTAAAGTCTTTATCACTGTTTTTCTCAGAAGTTATTACTTCTATAGTAAAAATGCATAAAACGTAAAATCTATATTTTGAAGAGACTTATAATTTTTACTTGAAACATTTTTTTAAATTTCCAGTATTTGATAAAGTAATTGACAAAAATGTTAATTTTTAATTTTTGTTAATAATTTTTTAATGAAGAATGAGCGACGGGAAAAGTTTATGACTTTGACATCCTTAAGGGTCAAGATTAACATCAAGGTCAACCGGATGTCATTTCACGCGGGCTGTGTAAAGGTGAATATTTACTCGTAGACGACAAAATACTAGCGCGCATCTTAGCTTCCGCAGCTACTGCGCTTCACGCTTATTGATTCCAAGTTACTACAACATGTAGCTGTTTTTTTAATTGCAAATTTTTCGCAAACGAAGGCCCACGCAAACATTTTTAGGGTTTTTATGTACTCAACCCTCTCATTTGAATGAAATATGATTCATTCAATTATCGATTTTACATATCTTGCCATCTCCTTGTGAGCCGCGCTGTGGCCCAAGGAGTTGTGACACTTCGTTAATCATTCATCTCGACGTACGCTCACTCGTCAGACTTTTGTAATTAATAACTCGGTAATTATTGGGAATATCGCAGAACGGTATGGGACTTTTATGTTTGTCTTAATCCGCTCTATGTTTTCATGAGCTCTGCAACAATTGTTATGAGACACCCTGTATATCTCTTTTTTGTACATAGAATTTATTAATTTTACAGAACATAATTCTTTATGAATATTTGCCGGTGTTGTTAAACGAGAACCTTCCATCCTATATTGGTTACAAACCGGACCTACATCCGGGTATCAGTCATATATTCCAAAGCGCCGCTTTCCGTTTTGGTCATACTCTTATACCACCAGGCATTTATCGGCGAGATAGAAACTGTAACTATAGAAAAACTAACACGGGTCAACTAGCAATAAGATTATGTTCTACTTGGTGGGACTCAAACGTAAGTATACTTATTAAATAACAAAACATTACTATTAATTTAAATTTAAAATTGTTGGTTTGGAAGGAAGGAAGAGATAATATCGTATTTTTCTCAATAGATAACTCAAGTGTGTTTAATTGTATATATATCGAAAGAAATTTCAATTTAAATGACATAAACGCATATGCTATTATGTATGGCAGCTGATACCTCTAAACGTCATTTAATGTAGAAATCGTATGTAAAAGCGTTTATATTCACTTGAAATCGAGTGCAAAATTGAGCAAAATAAATTATACTTTTGCTACTTAACCCCTTCACTGTGGAAATCAAATTCACCAAAGTAGGCCCAAAATGTGCAGGGCATTCTGATAAATGAATTTTCATGAAACCTTGTATATAACCGTTTTTGATTTCGTTGAACATAAATCTGAGGTCAAAACTTACAAATTCAAAATGCTGGTCAAAAATACCGAGCAATTAAAATGTTTGCTACATTTTCCTAAAATTTGGGACTAGGAGAGGTTTATATCTGTAAATATCAATTAAATTAAAAATTAGAAAATTCAAGAAAATTATTAAAGTTTTAGCCGCCATATTAGACCCGTCATTTTGAATTTTTTAATTTGACCTCAAACTTGTCTTCAGAGACTCAAAAATCCCTCTAGTACAGTTTCAATAAGATCTACGAACTTTTGAAAATTGTCAAATTTTTAGCCGCCATATTGGATCCGCAATTTTGAATTTTTTTATTGGGAGTACATATTAGTTCGGTCCGTTTTTTGTGTTAAAAAATGTATTTATTTCAAAACAAAATGAATGAACAGATCAATTAAAGTATTTTCCATCGCTGGCTACTACTTTCTCCCATTTCTCAGGCAATTTTCGAATTCCATCTCGAAAAAATGACTCGTCTTTTAAGGCGATCCAAGTTTGGAACCAATTTTCGATTTCTGCGAAAAAAGTGAACCGGTGACCTGCCAAATCGTGCTGCATCCTTCGGAACAACCAGAAATCAAAAGGAGCAATGTCCGCAGAATACGGTGGGTGCGGTAAAACATCCCATTTGAGCGTTTCCAAACCTTTACTTTGTTGCCTTTGAATCAGCTGCTCGCAAGTGAAAATCGCCTTTCAACGTCTTTCGGTTTCAGTTCATAAGGCACCCAATTTCCTTGTTTTTTAATAAACCCCATATCTCTCAATTGTACGGAAACGACTTGTTGAGTCACTCCCAATGATTCTGCAAGCTCCTCTTAAGTTTGACTTTGATCTTCTTCGAGTAATGCCTTTAATTCTTTGTTCTCGAATTTTTTTGTCTATCCAGAACGAGGCTTGTCTTCGACGCTGAAATCTCCATCCTTGAAACGTCGAAACCATTCCCTACATTTATCCCTGTTTATCAGTTGGAGCAGCGTCACCATAAACTTCAACAAGCATTCGATGGGCTTCAGCTGCACTTTTCTTTCAATTAAAGCAGAAAATTAAAACCTCCCGCAAATGCTGCTTGGTTAACAAAATTCGACATTTCCAACACTGTAAAAAGCAACGTTTTTGTATGAAACTCAAAGCGATATAAACTGAATATTATTGACAGATGTCTAACCTCTCTGAAACCGCCAAAATCGGCAGTCACTATGAACCACTCATAACAGCCAGAGCCATCTTTTCAAAACGGACCGAACTAATTTGTACACCCAATATTTTAATCTCAAATTCGTTTTCAGCAGCCCAGAAAGCTCCTAGTATAAAGTTTTATGAAAATCCGTTATTTTATTAAATTGTTATAGAATTTTTCTTTAGAAAGTGTATACACGTACTCTACAGTTTGAGCCCACCTAAGTAAGTATGTATATACACGTACTCCACAGTCAAGGGATTAATGTTGTTTTACTTCCGAAAAGAGAAACACAATATAAACGAAAAAAATATATGCCATGTATGGAGAGAATACCGTAATCGAACGTATGTATCAGAGATAGTTTATGAAATTTTGTGCTGTTGATACGACATTCGAAGTTGCCCGGATAGCAACCAAACCTGTAAAGACAGATTTTGTACGGTAACTGGTATTCTGTCGACAGCTTCGTAGCAACAATAGAGATCTGATGATACAACATAATGACAGATTGATGGTAGAAATCAGGATTAACTGTTCCATTGTATCTAAATGGAACGTACTGTAAATCCTGTTTACTTTCTGCTTGTTTACTAATTTACTGTCAAACTAACTTTATCGACAGAGTACGAGCTGAATGTAGATACAATGTACGAATTTATTAATGGATTCTAATTGAATTTGTCAGAAAATTGCTCGCAACAGATTACGTACTAGGTGAGAAGCGCTTTGGTCGACCGGCTGTTGTCAATGACAACAAAATCAAGACTTTAATCAAGAATAATTTACCATACATAATGCAGGAAGTTTGCAGAGATATTCCATTTAATATATATCATAATAGAACATTTGTATAAGTTAGAATACACAAATCGTCTTAATGTTTGAATGTCACATGATTTGTTTGAAAAAGATTTAATCGATTACATTTTCATTTGCAACTCATTATTTAAACGTAACAAAAGCTATCCATGTGTTTGATATTTACTAGATATTCTTTATGTTCTTGTTCATTTATTTTCAAATCAAACTACGCGCGCTCCGTTTAGAATTGTAATCGAGACTCTGCGAGAGTAGCCGTCGCAGAAGAAACAAAGGATGACTACGTTGTGAGAGCGAGGATAGCGTCACAATAAACGAAAGTCATCGTGCAAATTCGCAGTGAATCATTATCCACCAACACACAACTACATACAGTCCACTCTACCATACAACACACAACACTGTGTTTTTAACTAATAGTGATGAGCGACAAAAAATAAATTTTCTATAACAACACGGTACATAAGCGGTCTTAAAAAAAATATTCAAGAAAACTATTGACCACTCCAAAATCTGGACTTTATCTGGAGAAGATCATGTTGTGTATTTGATGAGACAGATATTGTATATTAAATTTCTTCTAAAGAACGAATGGCTTAATTCAGATAAATATATAAAAATTATACTCTGTTTTTGTACAAACTGAAAGAAGCTATTACATTTGGAAACAATTCTAAAACTAGTAAATAGAAAGAGTATTTTAATTCATCAAGACAAGTCTCACATTTCCCTTACGGAAAAACATTTAAATATTGAATATTTACATTCAATTGTTCGAATTTACTTTCAAATGTGAGTATATACATTCAAAATTGAGTGTATATACCCATATTTGAGAGTAAATTCAAATTGTGTGTAAATACTTAATATTTAAGTATTTTTTCTGTAATATTTAAGTATTTTTTCTTTGACTAACCGGGAAAAGATGTTGCAACTCACAAGGAAGATTAGGGAACACGGAAATTCAGAAAATTCTGAAACTTTGTATGGATGTAAAGTAATGAAATTCCCGTAATGAAATAATTAAATTGCAATCATTAACCCATAATCAAGCTTTCTTCGCGTAGATTCAAAAATCTATTCCAATATGCTTGGTTTAAAAACAGATATATAGATATGCATCCCGGCAAATTTCAAAATCCTGTAGAATTCTGTTACTTCAAAAAGGAAAAGCATATATCTATATGTAGTATTTGTGGAATGGCTGCTTTTATGTGCTGCGCACGGTGTGGTGAATATTTATCTTTTCACCATTTTTATGAAAAATACTATTATTGTACTAATTACAATCCGTAATTTTGAATGTATTGTATACATTCCAATATATACTCACATTTGAAAGTAAATTCGAACAATTGAATGTAAATATTCAATATTTAAATGTTTTTCCGTAAGGGAAATGTAAGACTTGTCTTGATGAATTAAAATACTCTTTCTATTTACTAGTTTTAGAATTGTTTCCAAATGTAATAGCTTCTTTCAGTTTGTACAAAAACAGAGTATAATTTTTATATATTTATCTGAATTAAGCCATTCGTTCTTTAGAAGAAATTTAATATACAATATCTGTCTCATCAAATACACAACATGATCTTCTCCAGATAAAGTCCAGATTTTGGAGTGGTCAATAGTTTTCTTGAATATTTTTTTTAAGACCGCTTATGTACCGTGTTGTTATAGAAAATTTATTTTTTGTCGCTCATCACTATTAGTTAAAAACACAGTGTTGTGTGTTGTATGGTAGAGTGGACTGTATGTAGTTGTGTGTTGGTGGATAATGATTCACTGCGAATTTGCACGATGACTTTCGTTTATTGTGACGCTATCCTCGCTCTCACAACGTAGTCATCCTTTGTTTCTTCTGCGACGGCTACTCTCGCAGAGTCTCGATTACAATTCTAAACGGAGCGCGCGTAGTTTGATTTGAAAATAAATGAACAAGAACATAAAGAATATCTAGTAAATATCAAACACATGGATAGCTTTTGTTACGTTTAAATAATGAGTTGCAAATGAAAATGTAATCGATTAAATCTTTTTCAAACAAATCATGTGACATTCAAACATTAAGACGATTTGTGTATTCTAACTTATACAAATGTTCTATTATGATATATATTAAATGGAATATCTCTGCAAACTTCCTGCATTATGTATGGTAAATTATTCTTGATTAAAGTCTTGATTTTGTTGTCATTGACAACAGCCGGTCGACCAAAGCGCTTCTCACCTAGTACGTAATCTGTTGCGAGCAATTTTCTGACAAATTCAATTAGAATCCATTAATAAATTCGTACATTGTATCTACATTCAGCTCGTACTCTGTCGATAAAGTTAGTTTGACAGTAAATTAGTAAACAAGCAGAAAGTAAACAGGATTTACAGTACGTTCCATTTAGATACAATGGAACAGTTAATCCTGATTTCTACCATCAATCTGTCATTATGTTGTATCATCAGATCTCTATTGTTGCTATGAAGCTGCCGACAAAATACCAGTTACCGTACAAAATCTGTCTTTACAGGTTTGGTTGCTATCCGGGCAACTTCGAATGTCGTATCAACAGCACAAAATTTCATAAACTATCTCTGATACATACGTTCGATTACGGTATTCTCTCCATACATGGCATATATTTTTTTCGTTTATATTGTGTTTCTCTTTTCGGAAGTAAAACAACATTAATCCCTTGACTGTGGAGTACGTGTATATACATACTTACTTAGGTGGGCTCAAACTGTAGAGTACGTGTATACACTTTCTAAAGAAAAATTCTATAACAATTTAATAAAATAACGGATTTTCATAAAACTTTATACTAGGAGCTTTCTGGGCTGCTGAAAACGAATTTGAGAACAAAATAAAAAAAATTCAAAATGGCGGATCCAATATGGCGGCTAAAAAGTTGACAATTTTCAAAAGTTTGTAGAACTTATTCCGGCTTTTGCAGAACTTTGAAGTCGTCACTTCTTTGGAGCAAATTATCTTCAGCAATTCTGTGCTGAGAAAACCCCCGAGTGCGCGAGGAATTATAGAATTATGGTACTGCCTGAAAAACGGCAAAAGATTACAGAAAACGACGACCATCATGTTCCTGATTAAAATTGTTTTTAAATATGAATAAATCTATTTCAGTTTTAAGCTAAAAAAAATACAGTATTTTCCTTCCACCCCAATATTCTAATTTTTTAAAACTACGAGTGCAACTGATTAAAATTCGATTACAATAAAGAAAAATTAGTTTAAGAGAAAGCATTAGATCTGAAAAATGAATGTATAATGAATGTATAATGAATGTTAATGAAAAATGAAATGTTGATGAATGTATAACGAATAATTAAGTCTTTTAAATTATAAAATTATAAAAAAAATGAGATTCAGAATTCCTTCGAGGAGTAACCGTAATAACATACATACGTTTCTTGCAGGCAATTCTAGCTAATAGCACTATTGAAGAATTAATACTGGGTATGGCATCACAATTAGCAGAAAAAGAGGATAATCTTCTCAGTACTGACATTCGCAATAATCTGTTTGGTCCCATGGAATTTTCGCGCAGAGATCTTGGTGCTCTGAATATTATGCGTGGTCGAGACAATGGTCTGCCAGATTATAATACAGCCAGAGTGCATTACAAATTATCGCGACGGAAAACTTGGAATGAAATCAACCCGGAATTATTCAATAAGAACCCGTCGCTGTTGCGCACACTTGTTGAAATTTATTCTAATAATCTCAACAATATTGACGTTTATGTAGGTGGTATGCTCGAATCTAAAAATGGCCCCGGGGAACTTTTTACTACAATCATAAAAGAGCAATTTCTCCGTTTGCGGGATTCTGATAGGTTTTGGTTTGAGAACGAAGATAATGGGTGAGCAAATTGACTTTTCTTAACCCATTAACGCCCAAAAGTCCTAAAATATTAGCCTTACTTTGCAATTGTATTTTATATAGAGAAACATATTATATAAGGTTGAAATAGCATTTCCTTATGTTTTCGGGGTCGTTCTACAAGATTTCAGCATCAGAATTCGTTTAGATTCACAATAAAATTCAATATGGCTGAATTTTTTAAAAAAAGTCGTGAAAAATCGACAATTTTATTTTTTATAAGCTTGATTTCGTATCAAAAACGTTACTTTGGTACAGATACAAGTGTCACATTTTATCTAAAAAATGTTGGACTTTCAAGGTATGCATTGGTGAAAATGTGAATTCAAGATGGCTGCCTCAAAATGACGGTTTGAGCGAGAAAAACTTAAAAAATAATGTATTTTTAGAATAACTTCGTAAAATCCTAGTATTTAGAATCAATTTAGTATCCAGGGTACTAATTTTAGGATATTTGCTAACAACTAATTCATATTAGAGAATTTCAAAATGGCGGATTCAAGATAGCGACTAAAAGGCACGAATAATCGTGGAAATTTCCAAATTTTCATGAATTTTCTTCTATTATTTTCATATTCATGAATTATTTCCGAGACGTACACTTAGAAGCAGGTATGGTGTTCCTCAGCGATGTCGTATACGCCTGTAAAACAATTGAAAGCAATGACAGGCATATACGCATACGCATATGGGCGAACTGTACAGCGCGAGAGAAGCGAAGAAGGAGAAATGGTGGGAGACGTTCCGAAGTTGCATCCTTATCGCACGTCGCACGATCGAGAGAGAAAGCATTAGCAGACGTGGTACAGTTAATGGTGTCCTCAATAGCTGTCTCACTCACTCTACGCTTGAATGCAAGGAATATGAGTGAGACAGCTATAGAGACACCGCGGTGTCTCTATAGGTGTCTCGCTCGCTCTAATAGCCATGTATCGCGCTTTCCTCTTTTCTCTTTAGCAGAAATGCCGATTGAGGAGGGAATCCTGTCTGTAGGCCAGAAAAATAAGCTATTTTCACGAATTTTTTTTCGGGAACTAAGCAGACGATTGATTTCAAACTTGATAGAAATAATAATATATATTTTATTGATGAGAATGAATTTTTATAGCGTTATATGAATAATAATAATGTAGCAAATACATATAAAATAACGTGACGTGTTTAGACGCACGCCGTTTCACGGTTTCTATAAAATCTCGAAATACGGTGGACTAGGACAAAAATGCAAGATAATTAATTAATTATTAAATAATAATTAATAATTAATTAATTACTTCTGAAAAGACTGCGGGAAGGAGGGAGAATAAATGCATCCTCCTTCAAATCCTCCTTTAAATGCTATTTAAAATGTAGGCTCCGCTCTTGAAAATATAAAAAAGAAATTAGGAGACTTAATAATAATAAAAATTACAGTAATAATAACGAGACGCTATACAGCATCTCCTGAAACCAGAAAAAAAACCTTTTTTTTATATAAAAAGTCGGTCGATCTATTTCAGCATGTAGTTACATATTTATATATATATTAGTATATATATATATATATATTATTGGTATATATATATTTATATATATATATTTATATATTAGTTACATATATATATATTTATATATTTATAGTTACATATTTATATATGTAATAACATATTTCCTTTCTTTTCTTGCTTGTTGATTTTACTAGGAGATCGCGCTTTTCATTTGTTACTTTTTTTCCTATTGCATCACTTATCGTTGTGTCGTAGCATCGAGTGAAAGCAAAAACGTGTGAAAACTATGCCTGAAAACTTGTGTCCTGAGATACGAGGTCGCATTGTTGGGCAGTGGCAGGCGGGAAGAACAGTAGCAGAAATTGCTGCTGCTATTCCATGTTCTGCTAGAACTGTCCGACGATGGATACAGCGATTCAATGAAGGGGGTGATCATGCTTTGCATAATCACCGTCTTCATAATCGTCGGAAGACCGGGGCACAAGAAGACGAAGTGCTAGTCGCCGCAGTTGGTGAGCGACCTTTCGGCACTGCCCAGGAAGCCATCAACGCGGCAAATCTGCCAATTTCGCAAAGGACCGCCCGGCGACGTTTCAACGAAGCTGGGATTCACTGTTATTGTCCAGCTAAAAAAATTCCGTTGACTCTCGGACATCGGGAGCGTGTCGCGTTCGCTTTGGAGAACCTGGTGAGGAACCGTGAGGAGTGGGAGGCAACGATCTGGACCAATGAAAAGGTTTTTGTATCGTCTGCCGATCACCAACCTCACATATGGCGTCCAAGGGATCAAAGGTTGCATCCTAATTATGTTGTGCCTACTCACATAAGTGGGAGAACTTCATGCGCAATGTGGGGCTGGATTTCCGGCACTGCAATTGGTGAGCTGGTAGCTATTCCCACACGAATGAACTCTGCGGAGTACATTCGCATACTGGAAGATTCTTTTTTTCCATCAGTACGCGCAATTTACCCCGCAGAGGAAGTGCCAGTGATCCTATTGGTGCAGGATAACTCCAGAGTGCACAATTCGCATGAAACGCAAACATGGTTTCGATATCATTCGGAGATCCAATTGATTCCGTGACCTGCTCGCTCACCAGATCTAAATTTAATCGAAAATGTTTGGACACAAATGGTTCAACGATGGAAACCAAGAAGGGAGAGGACGATAGCAGCGTTGGTCGATCATGCGAAAGAAATCTGGGAAGAACTTCGGTTCCGACCAGACTTTCTAGCAAACTTGATTGATTCGATATCTAATCAACTCAATCAAGTGATCGACCGGTCCGGATATTGGACAGATTATTAAAAATGCGCTCTAGATGCTCCCCACGATAGACTTCTCACGGAGTCAATAAAACTTTCATACCGCGCTTAAAAGCGCCTACAGGCGTCTCACTCGCCTATTTATACGAATAGACAGTGCGAGTGAGATAGCTACAGGGTGCTTTTAAGGCAGAGGCCGTAGGTCACCTACGGCGCGTGCTACTAAGCTACTCAAGCGTCACATCTTTAATTTTAAGAGATGCTGTATCGCGTTTCGTTATTATTGTATTTTTTTTATTACTAAAAGTCATTTTTTTTATATTTTCAAAAGTGGAACCTACTTTCTAAGTAGCATTTTAAGCAATATGTTGCATTTATTTTATTTTCCCTCCTTGCACTCTCTTCAAAAGTAAAGGCATGTTACGTCTCAAAAAATAGCACAATTTGAAATATCTTGTGGCATAAAATAAATTTTTTTTATGAAATATCATTTTCTTGCAAATAAAAAAATAAAGAGGAAGTTTGCACGACAATGATTGTAAGACATTTAAAAATTATATTCGAAAAATCACCATAAAAATCGACAGTTTTACGTTAAAAATAAATATAAAAGATTAATATTTTTTAATTTTGCTATTTCACAAGATAGAGAGACATGTTTCGATTATATGTAACTATATGCTGAAGTCGATCGGTTCATTAGTTTGTCTCAAATCGTGGGAAACAATTAAAGTAAAGTCATTTCAAACGACGTGCGCCTAGACACGTCACATTATTTTTTGTGTATCTGCTACATTAGCTGCGTTACAATATTCGCTGCCACTGCCATTATTATTCATATAATGCCAGCTGCACACGGTGCTTGTTTTCGTGCTGGATTATACTATGAAAATTCCTTCTTATAAGTTAAATATTCTACCAAGTTTGAAATCAAACGTCTGCTTAGTTCCCGAAAAAAATTCGTGAAAATAGCCTGTTTGTTTGGCCTACAGACAGGATTCCTTCCATAATCGGCATCTGCTAAGGAGAAAAGAGAAAAGCACGATAAATGGCTATTACAGCGAGCGAGACACGTATAGAGACAGCGCGGCACATATAAAAAATTAATATTTTTTAATTTCGCTAGTTCACACGATAGATATACATATTTCGAATATGTAACTACATGCTGAAATAGATCGACCGACTTTTTATATAAAAAAAAGGTTTTTTTTTTGGTTTCAGGAGATGCTGTATAGCGTCTCGTTATTATTACTGTAATTTTTATTATTATTAAGTCTCCTAATTTCTTTTTTATATTTTCAAGAGCGGAGCCTACATTTTAAATAGCATTTAAAGGAGGATTTGAAGGAGGATGCATTTATTCTCCCTCCTTCCCGCAGTCTTTTCAGAAGTAATTAATTAATTATTAATTATTATTTAATAATTAATTAATTATCTTGCATTTTTGTCCTAGTCCACCGTATTTCGAGATTTTATAGAAACCGTGAAACGGCGTGCGTCTAAACACGTCACGTTATTTTATATGTATTTGCTACATTATTATTATTCATATAACGCTATAAAAATTCATTCTCATCAATAAAATATATATTATTATTTCTATCAAGTTTGAAATCAATCGTCTGCTTAGTTCCCGAAAAAAAATTCGTGAAAATAGCTTATTTTTCTGGCCTACAGACAGGATTCCCTCCTCAATCGGCATTTCTGCTAAAGAGAAAAGAGGAAAGCGCGATACATGGCTATTAGAGCGAGCGAGACACCTATAGAGACACCGCGGTGTCTCTATAGCTGTCTCACTCATATTCCTTGCATTCAAGCGTAGAGTGAGTGAGACAGCTATTGAGGACACCATTAACTGTACCACGTCTGCTAATGCTTTCTCTCTCGATCGTGCGACGTGCGATAAGGATGCAACTTCGGAACGTCTCCCACCATTTCTCCTTCTTCGCTTCTCTCGCGCTGTACAGTTCGCCCATATGCGTATGCGTATATGCCTGTCATTGCTTTCAATTGTTTTACAGGCGTATACGACATCGCTGAGGAACACCATACCTGCTTCTAAGTGTACGTCTCGGAAATAATTCATGAATATGAAAATAATAGAAGAAAATTCATGAAAATTTGGAAATTTCCACGATTATTCGTGCCTTTTAGTCGCTATCTTGAATCCGCCATTTTGAAATTCTCTAATATGAATTAGTTGTTAGCAAATATCCTAAAATTAGTAC